TCTCTCTCCCTCCCTCCCTCCCTCCCTCCCTCTCTCTCTCTCTCTCTCTCTCTCTCCTATCTTTATTTTGTTTGAAGTACGTGACATGCTTCAGGCAAACCATGGTCGGAATTGTGTGAGTTAATCAGTGGGGTATGGGTAGCATCATCCTTGGACAGGATATGAGTTCAGTGGCTCTTTATCTTTCCCAAATGTGTGCTCTTGCAGAGATTCCCAGCCAGAGCACTGACTTGGAAGGCAGCCATTTTGTTTGCAGATTCTTACTCCCTCTGCAGTGCCATCCATAGTTCCTGGTTGTCAGCTAGACCAGACCAGGAATCAACTCTTCAGGAAGGATAAAACTACTTTTACTGAGATTGGCTATAATAACTAGAATCTTGCAAGTCTGATTGTGCTGTACCTCCTCCTCTTCCTCCTCCTCCTTATACTTCAGTAAATTAGGGAGCTTCTGCCTGACCTGCTTCCAAATGCTATTTCATTGTTCTGGACTTTAAACACATTTCACATTTTGCCTAGGTAAATAGTTCCTGAATATCTCCACCAAAGTTATCTTTCTTGCTCTGCACTGGGTTCAACTTCCCCTCTCCCTTCTCATGCACCAGGTGGCGTCATCCTCTATGTGGGTTCAACAGCTGGCTCCAGCCCCACTCCAGGCAGCCCTCCCAGTGGATACCTGGTGTCTTCACCCCAACACTCGCTGCCATCCTCGTTAGAAGAGCTGACCCTCACTGAGATTGGAGCCATCAAGCCGCAGCAGGCCAGCTCCCCCTCTTCACCCAAGGTAGCCTTCCAGTTTCCTGAAGGGATCTGCTACCCCAGCAAGGGCCAGCTGCCCCCAACACCAAATAAGGTGCCTGCCACCAAGCAGAATGGAGCTACCAGCACATTCACAAGTAAGTGACTTTTCACATATACCTCCTCTTCTCAGTTTTTAATATACACGTGGAGTGACGTAATAATCATTCCATTGTGTATGTACGGACTTGGGATCCAGATAGAAAGACCAACAACTGTTAAGTCTCCTTGAAGTTAACTCTTGTTACTTATCTTTTGGGTGCACTCATTTTCTGACTTAATCAAATGTTGAAAATCACCCATTGCTCAAAATCTTTTTGCTACAAGCAAAAAAGTGAACCATCGGAGAAGGCATAGATCTCTGCCCAGCCCTTTGGAATTTCTAAACCCTCCTTATTGGAAGCATAGCATTATTTTATTGGCAAAAGCTTTTTGCAAGTATATTGACAAGGTTCCCATGCAGTATTAAGCTGTATTGTGATTTGGTCTCTTACGATAGTTACAATAGTGAATCATGGCTTTTGAATTTGGGGTTCTCCTGAATGTGAGAAGTGAATTTAGTCAGTAGTGGGTTAGTCAGTAAAACATGTTTGAATGGTAGTCCAATGTGCAAAATCTTTCTGTACAGGTGTGCATGTGACCAATGTCATTTCCATTTTAAGTAAAAGTTCAGATGGTTTCCATTCTGATGGAGCTGTTACCCTCCAAGTTTCCTGAACTTCCATTTCCATAATCCTAAAGTAATAAAGACATGCTGACTGGGATTATAGGAGTTGACCTTTATTATTTCTGGAGGACAGCAAATTGGGGAAACCCAAAGGTGCCTTTTCCAAAAGGCAACTGGACTTCCTTGTTTTTTTTTCTTGGAAAATGTTTCGTTCTGAACCGAAGAAGCTTCTTGGATGAGATGCGAAATAAGATGCGAAGTCTAGCTGCCTTTTGGAAAAAGCACTTTTGGGGCAACTGTGACCTAAATGATGGAGAATCCATAGACAACTTAGGGAAAGTTACTTCAGTGGGCTGGGTCAGAGAAGAGGGAGATTGGATCAGAAACCTGAGCCTGGCAGGGAATTAAGATCAGTTCCTCTCTTTCTTTTGCAGAGACTGGTGGGATGGTGTTGCTTTGCAAAGTTTGTGGAGACATTGCTTCAGGCTTCCACTATGGGGTTCATGCTTGTGAAGGATGTAAGGTAGGTTCATCCTCTTGCTTTCTTCCTCTTTTGTTTGTTTCTATTATGACAAGACTGTTCAAGTTGAAATGCTCAAGATGGATTGCTTGATTATGTGCCCTAAAAGCGGTGGTGTCAAGTTTTAGTGACCATGCAGATGGGTTTTCTCCAGGATGATCTTTCCTTAATCTGGTCCTTCAGGTCTTCCAATGTCTCCATTACCACTATAATTTGAGTCCATCAACCTTGATGCTGCTCATCCTTTTCTTATCTTTCTTGCTACCTTTCCCAGCATATACATTTCCAAAGTGTGATCATTTGAATCTGGTCACTTCGGTCCCCACTGAAAACTCTGGGTTGTTTTAGTTGATGATCCATTAACTTGTTTTATTAGCTGTCCATTGATGTCCTCAGGACAAAGTCAGTGTTCAAAAGAGTCAATTATCCTGTTTTTGAAAAAGTCCAAAATATTTAGGATACTTAATATAAAACCCTACACTGGTAGGTCTATTGGCGGAAGGTGCAACTTGAATCGAAACTGAGTTTTGGTTTCAGTCCCGGGCTAAAGAGAAATTACTTAATAGATTCTCCATTAACATGCAAATTGGATTAAGTTATTAATCCACAAATTGGATTCTCCATCAGCTGTTTGATTTCTCTAAAATAAGAACTACAGTACCAATAATTCTTGATTTACGGCCACAAATAATAACCCTAAACAAAAGAAGACTCCAAGGCTCGAATTTCCTCAAAGTTCCATTTTATTAGAGTTGTCATATTGGCACATCTGGGAAAACCCGAATCTGAGAGCAGAAAGCTGAAAATCAGTAGACTCATTTTACACGTGTCCGTTTGTTGGCTGACCTCCCCTCTTCTCACTCTTCTTTCCTTGGGGGCCCTCAGGGTTTTTTCCGCCGGAGCATCCAGCAGAACATCAACTACAAGATGTGCGTGAAGAATGAAAACTGCATGATCATGCGTATGAATCGCAACCGCTGCCAGCATTGCCGCTTCAAGAAATGTCTGGCGGTGGGGATGTCAAGGGATGGTAAGCATCTGGATAGGGTTGGCCCCTCTTCTGCAGCCGTGTGGGTCTGTAACTAAAGGCTTGAAGGCAACTGTGATGAATTCCTTTGAATTACAGTCTATAGTCATGAATGTTTGCTTCATGAGCCAGACTTTGGGCAATTTTTCAAGCACATTAGAATTCGTTGGCTACACTGAGAGCCATTCAACTGGATTCTCTTTTCTTGAACAGCTCCGAGGCAGAAGGCACGAAGGAGGAAAAACCTCTGGAAGGCAACGTGCTCCTGTTTCCATCCTTGGAATGGAAAACCAGCTCAGCTGCCTCCTCCCATGTCCCCAAATTGCACTGCCCAAATTTAGCTACTGAATTTTGGCAGAACGATTTGTTTTGAAGCTCTTCAGTGATGGAAATGAGAAGTTTGCCTCCCGTATACTTACTCCTCCCTTTCCCCAGTGTGATAAATCACAGCGGTCCCCAGTTTTGGCAAGGATGTTCACCCCTTTTTGAAGGAACAATAACTTGGTGGTTGCCGTTGCTTAAAATGATTGGGAAAATGGCAGCGAGCAGAAAGGAAACAATCAAAGGCTGGGCTGATACCAAGGCATGCTTTGGTGTTAATGGATTTAGAGGGATAAAAGCTTCATCCCAACTCTGGGCCTGTAGTGCTGCCTCTGCAGTCACTCTCCTACAAGGGTACAATGTCAGCAAATGCTAGGTTGATAAATGATACCCTGGGCTGATTAATGCTTTTGTGTCAGAATTTGCAGAGCAGTAGAGAAGGATGGGGAAGAGCCACCTGTATGCAGAGACCAAGCAGTGTCCTTTGATTAATGGCACAGTGGTTCTCCCAAGTACGTGACCCAGAGGCCTGAGAATCTGCTTATAATTTCGGCTTTACGGAGGCACTGCTGGCTTGGGAAGGAGGGCTGGATCTGGTCCTCCCTCTCTTTGCTGGAGAAAATTGAACAAAGACAAAGTGCTTTGTCGCCACCTGCTAAATTGGAGAAGACAACCATATTGTACATGTGTGTGCCTGAGAGTTTGTGTGGGCTTCCCTGAGCATCATCATGTTCGTATTAAGTAATGTTTACGAATCGTGCAGTTTCCCTTATTTCCCCAGCTAGAGATGCCACCTTCGGTACAATCGCGTTAGGGCGCAGCTTCTCTTCCTGTAGAGCTAGGGCACAGGAGAAAATTCTACCTGTTCAGTTACTTTACTGCTGCCTGTTACAGCTTAATGCCTCCTCGACCCTCAGATTGTCACGCTCCTTCTTCCCTTCCACAGCTGTGCGTTTTGGGCGCATCCCTAAGCGAGAGAAGCAGCGCCTGCTGGACGAGATGCAGAGCTACATGAACAGCCTGAATGAGGTCCCCATGGATGTGGGCCTGAGCTCTGAGGCGGATGCTCCACCCAGCCCTAACACCCAGGAAGAGGAGGCAATAAATGCCATCTCCAGGGCTTACCACGACATCTTCCTCAGCGGGCAGGACCGCCTGGGCAGGCGTAGTAGCTCCCCAGGGGCCGAGGCTGCCCCTTTGACCAACTTCAATGAACAGCCGCAGCTGAACCCTTCCCTGGGTTATGGGCAGTACGAATCAGCCACTCTTCGCCTCTCCAGCTACAGCCCTCAAGAACCACCCTGTTATGTTGACAACAGCCCCTCGTGCTATGGCAATGATATCTTCCAGACCCAGCAGTCCAATTATCTGCAAAATGCTGGATGCTACCCATCCTTTGATTTTGGTTATTCTGAGGGAAATGCCCAGAGGAGCTGTCCATGGCGGGGAACCACCAGAAGAGGCATTGTAAGTAGGCCAGATGTATACTGGGGGAGTGGTGACTGGGGATGTGGAGATATCCACCCCATACAGGCAATTTACTTGAAATAACCACTCTGCATGTGCCCTTTCGGACTATTTCCTGCAAACGATTGTGAGAAATAGTACAGGAGGACTGATGGCATCTTGTTCCAGAGAGCCTCTGGTCAACCAGAACTAAGCCAAAAAGCAGCTGTAATAGTAAGGCACTCTGTTGAGTCTCTGCCGTTTAATGCTTGAGCCATGTTGCGTTTCTTTCTGGAAGTTTAAAATCTTAGATGTTACAATTGAGGAAAATCTGCAGAGCAAGGATTTGGGTCTGCTGCCTTAGATCTCTGATTAAAAAGATCAGCTTTGCCAATAGAAAGCTGATTTCCAAATCCTTGACACCCCCCTGCTGTAAAAATATTGGTAGTGCAGTCGAAATGAGAATGCAAATCAAGCAGGCTTTGCTCTCCCTTGTATCTATGGATTGGCAGAACAAGCTGGCATGGCATCAGTGGTGGGATTCAATTTTTTTTACTACCGGTTCTGTGGGCGTGACTTGGTGGGCATGGTTTGGTGGGTATGGCAGGCAAAGGATACTGTAAAATTTCCATTCCCTCCCCTTTCCAGGGGAAGGTTACTGCAAAATCCCCATTCCCTCCCGATCCGCTGGGACTCAGGAGGCAGAGAATAGATGGGGGCCAGTCAGAGGTGGTATTTACTGGTTCTCTGAACTACTCAAAATTTCAGCTACCGGTTCTCCAGAACTGGTCAGAACCTGCTGAATACCTCTGCAAGGTATCTGTGATTCCCATTGCCAGTTCCTATCCTTGCCCTTGTTTTAAGTCAGGAATGGCTCTTGCTCTAATTTTTAAAAACGTGAACCACAGGATTGAATAGTAAAAGTGGTGCCCTCCAGATGGAATGACTGTGCCCAGATCAATTGGCTGTGTACCGCAGACAGTTGCCACCATAAATGCAAAATAGCTCCTGGTGTTGGCAAGGAAAACTATTGTTTGTAGCTCTTAGTTTTACCAAGAAAAGTAAGAAATAAAATTGCAAGTCTGGTGTTTTCTCTTAAGTCATCTGTATGAGTGCATGAAAAATTCTACTGGTTTCTTTTTTTTTTGAACAATGTTTTGAGCAATCCATTGCTTTAATAAAAGCATTTTGGCCACTTCTCAAATACAGTTTAAAAATGACAATTAGTTGTTCATGGCAGGTCCACATTGGCAAGCTACTGAGTTCACTGTTAAAACTGTTTGAAATAGTGGCATATGGAAAGACCTTCAAGTGAAAAATGGCAAATTGGCCTCTTTTACCTTCCAGCAATGCTTTCTAGTAATGCAAGATATTTTTAAAAATCTTTTTATCCCACTGGAGTGTGTGCGTGTGTGTGTCAGTTTTGCAAATAACGTTGGCTGGAGGGAAAAAAAAAGTTACAAATATTCTTTTTTCCAGATTATCAAAGGCAAATTATCCTTTTATCATTCTTCTCTCTCCCTCTCCTCCTATCCCTTTGCCAGTTCTATCCTTTCATTGCATCTCGATGCGCCTTTGTGTTGAACTAGTTTACTCTGTATTCTAGTAACAAAGCCTGTGTGTATGTGTTGCGAGAACAAGCAAATTTTAAAAGTATTAAAGAAAATTACCATTTGAGTGTTAAAATGGATCAATTTGCGTTGAGCTTTTGTTTAACTAAGCATAACCTCTTTCTGTCAATCTCTTTTGTGGCATGTAGGCTTGTCCTCTGAATGCCACCCCTTATTGTGGCAGCGGCAAGAGCAGTCAGCAAGTGTGGGAAGAGTTCTTACAATGCTTCACACCAGCTGTCAAGGAGGTGGTCGAGTTTGCCAAGAGCATCCCGGGCTTCCAGTCACTCTGCCAGCAGGATCAAGTCATGCTCCTCAAAGCGGGCACTTTCCAGGTCAGCACTGGGTGCATCTTTTCTGTGGGCAGCCCCTCCCCTCCCCCAGTCTGTGCAAAAACGATTGATGCAACCCTTAGTTAGCCTCAAGTTCTTTTCTGCATTGCAACAGTGTTCAGCATGATTTTGTTTTGTAGATAAGTTATGAGGGCACAGAGCAAGAATGAGGAAGCACAGAGAGATGACTCTTTTGGGGGTGGGCTTGTTTTCCACAGTATCAAAGTTATGGAATGGCTTTTTAATTGTCAAATAGTTTTGCTATCATCTGGAGAACATACCTCTTGTTGGCAAGGTTTCCCAGGAGCTGAAGCTGAGACCTCCCTGCAGACTGCATGCTTGCTGCTTTTGTTATTGGCACAGGGATTTTTTCTTACAATTAGGACACTCTCTCCTCAGAATTTGGAACACTTTCCAAATAGCATTCTTGTGTCCCGGGAATTGCCCAACTATGGAAAATGCATGTAGGGACAAGAAAGTTGTACCTACAAATGTTTATCAATTTTACACTGGGACTAGATTACTGGTTAGGCCTTTGGCTCGCTCCCAAGATGTAAACAGCACGCATGTTAGATACCGCCTCGCTTTTCCAGGCTGGGCACCTTATTATTATTATTTTTTTCAAATTTCTTTGTGGTTCTTCAGATGCAGATGATAACAAGATTGCTGTGGGAAATTATGAGTTGCTCATTGTTTCTTCCTTCAGTCAAGAATGTCAAAAATATGTTTCTTTGCTTAAAGTGACTCTGTTCCACCATCCGTCCTTTCCTAGGTGCTGATGGTGCGCTTCTCCACCCTCTTCAGCCCCAAGGAGAAGAAAGTAACATTTCTGAGTGGGGAAACCTATTCACTCGGCAGCCTGCGTTCCATGGGCATGGGCTCTCTGCTGGATGCCATGTTTGAGTTCAGCGAGAAGCTCAGTTCCTTGGGCTTAGATCCACAAGAGATGGCCCTCTTCATGGCTGTGGTCCTTGTCTCAGCAGGTGGGTGTGAGTTTTGTTGTAGTGATACAACCAGACTAAGGCTTTGGGTAGAGAGATAGACTTGTTGCAAGAGCTCTTGTAGCTTTTGCTAAAGCCCTTCCTTCTCTACTGTAATCCTGTGATGGAGTCTCTGTAGGTCAATGTTGGGAACCTTTTAGGCACCATGTGCCAAAACGGGAGCGCTGGAAACTGGAAGAGCAGTTCCCTGGCACATGCATGCTGAGCTTCTGGTTCCCAGCGTGTGCATGTGCACTGGTTACCTGCTTCCGGTTTCTGGCATGCATGAAGACCAGCTGGCCGGTGTGCATGCATATAGTGGAAACCGGAAGCTCAGTTTCCTGCAAGCGTGTATGCGCACCAGGCAGCTACTCTTCCGGTTTCTGGAGCTTCCACGCGTGCAAAGACCAGCTGACCAGCATGCATGTGCGTGCTGGAACCTGGAAGAGCAACAGACAACGATTGGCGTGCCCGGAGAGATGGCTCTGCGTGCCACAGATTCGTCATCACTACTGTAGGTAGTCCTCAATTTAAGAAACATTTGTTTAATGATCGAAGTCGCAACAGCAGTGAAAAAAGAGTTATGATCATTCGTCACATGACATTTTCATGGTCACGTGATCAAAATTTGGATGCTTGGCAACTGGCGTATAGTGTTCCAGGGTCATGTGATCACCTTCTGCAACCACCTGGCAAGCAAAGAAAAAAGTGATTTATGACCATTTTTCACACTTAACGACCATTATAGTATCCTCATGGTCACAAGATCAAACTTCAGACACTTGGTTGCAGCTAGAATTGTATTTGCACAACATTGGAAAATTGAAGAGATTCCTATTGATGAGAAGGTGATTAGGGAAATATTAGAATGTGCATGCCATATTTTTCGGACTATAAGACGCATCCAGATTTTGAAGAGGCTTTTTTTTTTTAAAAGTAGGTAGATAGATAGAGGGATAGAGAGGGAGAGAAAGAGAGAGAAACACAGTAGGTAGGTAGGTGGGAGAGAGAGAGTAGTTAGGTAGGTAGATAGGTAAAGGGATAGAGAGAGAGAGAGAGAGAGAGAGAGAGAGAGAGAGAGAGAGAGAGAAATACAGTAGATAGGGAGAGAGAGTGTAGATAGGTAGGTAGGTTGGTAGGTAGAGGGATAGAGAGAGAAAAATAGAGAGAGAGAAATACAATAGGTAAGTAAGTAGATGTTTCCAGGTATATTTATCCATGTGCTGGAGAAGAAAATAGCTGACAATCTGTAGAACTTAAAACTTTGTTTCTGCTGGCACAGCACTTGACCAATGTAATTCTCATCAACCACTCTAACTAAACAGCTTTCCGAAAGGAAAAAAAAAAGGGG